AGCCCTGCAAGTTGCAGACAAATGCAGAGCATCAATGAAGCAAACAACGCATCATTATGGACTGCCTCCCTTGGACCCAAATGATTCAGTTTGGAACCAGCCAAACGTGTATTTATTCTCTATGAGACCAGTAAGTGAGGGCATGTAGGCAGTGCATGATCTGCTCATTGATCTTCCTGTCTGATTTACATGTGACACAGGCATAGCAGGAGTTCAACAGTGCAGAGGGATCTAAGCAGAACTGCCTGGGGATTAAGGAGCCAGCTTTCCACAAAGTTGTCAGAAATCAAGAGAATTAAGAACTCCTGGGGTTTCACTTTTGCTTTACTCAGAGAGCTTTCTGTTCTTAATTACATTTGGCAGGCACAGCAACCACTTCATTTGGCTTTGTCAGTGCTGAATTCGATTACATTCAGAAGGGAAAACAATATGCTGTCCTTAAGAACAAGCCACCCTGGACATGTGTCCAAAGCAGCTATGAACAGGTGCTTTCTTTGAGAGGAGTTTCAAGGAATAGTTATAGTGCAGGGAAGGTGCAGTGCTGTGAAACTCCTTTGGGCACTGAGATTTCTCAGTGCACATCAGCAAAGAAAGATCCTTTATTGCCCTCTCTATCTCTAAACACATCTTCCCTCTGCCATGAAATGAACAGCAAAACAGGAGAAGTAAAGGACAAGCAAATGGTTTACCTCCTGGTCTTACATATGCTACAACATCAGCTCATTGCTTGGCCTTGAGCAGGCTGCTTCAACGCGCTGCTCCTGAATGCCCCACTGGCTGAGCAGAGATGCACTGCAGGAAACCTGCGAGGCTGCAGGCAAACCACTACCCTCTGCTGGAGAGAATAGAGCGAGACAACACGTCTTACAAATATATTTATACTGGCATTTAACAGAGAATCTCACAAAGTGTCATAGAATCACAGAATGGCCTGGATTGAAAAGGACCTTAAAGATCATCTCGTTTCAACCCCCCTTGCAGGGCTGCCAACCAGCAGATCAGGCTGCCCAGAGCCACATCCAGCCTGGCCTTGAATGTCTCCAGGGACGAGGTATTCACAACCTCCTTGGGCAACCTGTTCCAGTGCGTCAGCATCCTGTGACCCACATTGGTACTCACACTGTTCCATTCTGGAAGTTGTTTTTTTAATCTTATAGCAGATCATGCACAGTAAAGCTTTGGAACGTCTGTCCCCACTCACTGCCCACCAGCACAGTGGAGGACTCCTACCATTCAGGTCAGACCAGTCTCCTACTGCACCCAGCCCAGCTTTCAAAGCCTACAAATAGAAAGAATAACTTGGGAAACATTGCTAAAGCAGCTTGAAAACTGAAAAATCTGTGTCTCTTCTTTGCAAAGCAGACTGTAGCAGAAAGAGGCTCCTTACAACTCTTGCTCATGGTAGCATCTGGCTAACACAAAGAAAGGCAATGAAACTATGAGAAGGGCCCTTGTAGAAAGCCTCAGGATAATTCAACATAAAGGAGATAACCAATGCCTTGTAGAAATTCTCCGAAGTTTCAAGCACAGAGAAAAATAATAAAAAAAAAGCATATTTACAAACTGGGACCTCAAGGCTATAAAATATAGCTCAAGATACAGCAGAGCTCAGCTCTAGGAGCAGCTGAGGTCTGGTACATTTCTGTGACTCTTGTTTCTGTAGCTCTCTGCCTGTCAGAAGTGAGAACTTTTTATCATTCTCTTGCAAAATCTTCCACTGCAACCAAGACCTTGACACATTAAGACAGAAGAAAAAAGCCTGAAGAAAATCTCCAGAGAGAAAACACTGAAGAGATTTAGAGCTGCTTTCTATCTAGCATCTCCCTTTACTCCCCTTTCAGCAGCTGGGATTTTAAACACTCAGCATACTTACATGCAGACTGGAGGACAGGAGGGTACATGAAGCACAACAGCAAGGAGATGAGGGCTGACAAGAAAAGCATGAGGGATGCAGGTGTTCTGAGCACAGAGGGCTTACAGATGACTTTTACAACAGTACACCATCAATTATACTGATGCTGTCTCGGCTGGATTAACTCCTGGTGGACAGGAGGCAGCTGGGGAGACGGATTTGCTTTTCTGTCACTCCTGATCAAGACCTGTGTTCCCCTTTTGTTCAAACACGTTTGCACGGTCTCTGTGCTGCAGAGTTACTGAGAGCTTCAGAGATCTCTGCTGGAGTCTGACAGCCTTCCCTGCTTTTCTGGTTTTTTCTTCAGCCCTCCTCATTGGTCAGTATCATCACTTGTTTGTGGTTTGTGAAGGAGTTTTGTGCTTGTAGATTTCTGTTCCTGCCTCTACAATAATCCTGTAATTGTGATGCCAAGTAGCACCTGAGGACAATTTTATCACATTCTGTATTATATGTAAATACCATTACGTTAGATGGATTTTCTCATTAATTCTCCGTCCTGGTGACAAGCCAGGAATTAACACAATTGATTTTCCAGTCTCTGCTCATTATCAATCATCCAAGAACTTAGTCACATCTCATCTGTTCCACCTGGGTCGTAGCATTTATTTGTAGATTTCAACATACATTTAACTAATAAAAACCAACAGGTGTAGCAACCTATGTGCCCCAAATCTGGACAAGAACAAACTACATGTCTTCCTAATTCCTTTGGTGGTAAAATTCTCACCACAGACCAGTATCCTACAGAGAACAAGCAGTGGGCAGGTTAAGGAACAGCCTGTTGTATACTGCGGCCATCAAAATCAATGTACACCTCCATGCTGCTCTTCAAAAACTTATGGAAAACAACAGTTCATAGGTGCCTGGAGGTTTCCTGGAGGTGCTCCATTCAGAAGTAGTAGAAGTATCCAAGGGACATCCACGATTCAACCCAAACTCTCCCCATTACTACTTCTTTGCAAAATACCAAGGGCCAAAATGAAAAAGCAGTAAATACACTACAGAGTTCATTTCAGCTCTAGAACAGGTTTTGTGAGGATGAAAATGGAGAATAACAACAAGCAGTGGTACAGAAGAGTATAATCTCAGTATATCACACTGCTTCTTCTGTTCCTGTGGTTCCCATCACCTCTGTCCTGCTGTCAGACCAAATAAGCAAAAGGAAACATTCCCACAACATGCATGAATTGTGCACTGTACCTTTCCTGACTTCCTTCATTACTATCTCCTGGCTCAGGAGTGGAATTCTGGCACAAACAGATTTTTCTGCAGAAAGCTACAGGTAAGGCACACCCTGAAATAGTAGTCTGGCAAATGCAATTGCTCTGTTATGAAGCAGATGTGTTTTCAGCCCACCCAGCTCTTCACTAGGCCTTTGTATAAAGCAGGCATTCTTTTGGATCATATCTTCCACCTCTCAGATGTTCTCCTGCTTGTTCCCTACCATACTGCTCCTGGGGATTCCATACTGTGTAAACTTACCTATTCATCTGTAGCTCCAAGAAACAGGGAACCCAGAGAGCCACACGCTCTTTCTGTAAGCAGAAACAAATAGACTGCTGTAGACAATAAATAGTTCAGAATGCTCCTTACTGAGAGCATCTGTTCTTCTGGCACATAAAGGCAAAAGGGGATTCACAGACCAAAACTATCGTGCTCTCTCATCCATCCACTGTGGAAAAGACGCTTGCTCAGGCCATTACAGGTTAGTAGTGATGAATGACTGAATGATCATTTAACTCTTGCTAGGCATGTGTTTATTTGGATCGTTGCTATTATTATAACAAAGCACCCGTTTTTTATCTACATCTGCAAACCAGCCTTTGGTTTTGTTCCGGTAGATAGTTCCCAGCTCTAAGTTCCATAAATTGATCAAACATGATATTGTGGAGCAGGAAGAATAAAGTCTGTTCCCAGATACTGGGAGAGCACAGCTTAATGCACCATCTCTGGCACTGATGAGGGGTTCTGTAAATAACCATACCCTTAAAACATCAACTCTATTTGGCTCACTAAGATCCAGACAGCATTCAAAACCAGCTCAGGAATGGAATTATCACCAGCTAATAATAATCTGTATGGAAGCTACCGAAGGCAAATTCTAATCTTAATTATTAGGTGACTTTTGAAACTTCCAGTGCAGGGAGATGGCACGAATCTGGAATATTAAGCAGTAAGGGGTTAGAAGGACTCTTTCACCCTGGTGGATGTTTCTGCAGATAACCTAATCCTGTAGGGTTATGATTTCAAATTCACTCTGTGGGGACAGAGGAGCCCAATCCTCCTGATCCTACACAGCCCAGTACAGCTCCAGCACTGCGTGCAGGAGACAGAAAACAGTTTGGAAGTCATCAGGAGGGAAAACATGAGGATACTGCAGCAACTGGGGGGTCAGGCTCTGACAAATGTGTCTCTGTGCTGAGTTCCTCGCGGGTGCTGACACTGGGTGTGCCCTATCCCACCTGCTGTAGGACAGCACTGCCAGCACAAAGGATGGTAAGGTCGATTCTCCACAAGGAGTTGCCCTGAGGCACACTAAGGAGCTCTGAGAGCACTCTGGGGAGCCTCAGAGTGCACTGGGAGTCCTCCAAGGCACACTGCAGCACAGATCACACACACAGCCCAAGCACCACTGCAGCCCTCTGCTGCCGCCCTCTGAGCAAAAAGCGGCACTGCAGGCAAAGCTGCGCATGCGTGTCAGCGCTTCCTAAACGGGCATGCGCAGTGCTCCTTTCTCAGAGCAACATGGCTGCGCCCAGTGCGCGTTCCCGCCTAGTGGCGGCAGCGAAATGAAATAGACGAGGCCTCCCTCCCTTCAGCTCTCGCTGTTTCTCTCCCACCTATCTGTCACTCTTTCCCCTCTGGCACTCCCTACCGAGCCGCGGGAACGCACCGGTTGGGATCTCCCAGCGGCCTTGCGACTGGCGCAGCGCTGTGTGATACCTGTGTGCCCCACCGCATCGCCCGGAAGTCGAGTCTCACCTCTTTGAGCCGCTCTGCGCTGTCAGGCTCTATGGTATTAGGTCCTCCATGCGATACCACGCATGCGCGCGGAAACGCGGAAGTAGCGCTTTGTACTGTGTTCAGCTGGCAGAGAGCTCGGCGCTATCGCGCATGCGCACACCTGTACTGTGGGGCTGTGTAAGGATTGACTTTGAGGCTTGCAGGCTGCATGTGTCTAAAGGAGCTGAAATGCATTAAGAGGCAAATAGGCAGTCAGAGGTCCAAGTGAAATATTCCTGCACGAAGGCACGCATAATGAGTAACAAATGGGAGGAGCTGGCAGCCATTGGAACTTGGTGGGATGAACCATGTTGTTGGGATGCTGAAATTGATGGCTGTAAACCATCAGGTTAGGGATAAAGGGTGGGAGTTGGATATCAGGGCCTGCTCTTGATGGGCAGAGTGAGATGTGTTGATTCTTTGCCATCCTCATGTTACTGCTATATTTCTGGGTAAGACTGAAAGCCACAGAGAAGTAGGTAGAAAGCAGAGTACATTCCCTACATGGAGGCTTGGTTTCAGGTGTTGTGTTTGAGCTATTTATTGGTTGTAGGTAAATGTTTTGCATACCTTCATGGTCAATTTCTGAAAGTGGGAGAGTGTTGTAAAGAGGGGTGTGACTGGCATCCTCAGCCAAGGAGCTGATAACTGTATTCCACTGAGGGTTTATTGTATGTCAATAAGGAGTTTAGATTAATGAATTACCAAGGAAATGCTGTGTAAAAGCTTTATAAAGCTTCTCGTGCACTGTAGAGATAGATAACAAGACAGTCTGGGTACTAAGAGAAAATCTGAGAGACACAAAAGAAAGACAGTGTAATACCAAAACAGGAGAAAAGATATTCAGGTTAGAAGAGGCTGCTCTTTGCAGGTGCTATGAGAGGCTCACTGTCCTTCACACTCCTTGCACTCCTTTTACTGGTGCACAGCTCCCAGGCAGTCTATGTCCAGGTGAGTTTTCTGCTGGTTATCTTGTTGGTATTGCAAGCTTAGTGCTGCACTGATGTGAAGAGATGTAAGTAAGATAGGAGTCTTGATCTGAATTGATAAAGCTGGATTTTTGCCTTGCTCTGACATCATCTCCCTGTGGTTCAGTTTATCTCTCTGTAAAATGGTTCAGGTGTTTCTAACATAAAACTTTTCCAGCCCTATCACTGCTCTGAAATTCCTATCAGAGTATTTCCAAAGCTTTGTTTTCTAGAGAACTCCATAAGTGAAGTTACCTGAACTGGGGAGAAAGTGTTGTGCTTGTTTCTAAGCATGAAGTTCTTTATGAAAATGACCTGCAAACTTATGTGATAGAGCCTACAAATGTGTCACATATAAAAATAAGGTGAAATAAATGAGTGTTTTCATCCAAAGGAATATTGATGGGTAGTGATGATATTAAAGGAATATTAGTGGACTAATGGTGGGATGAGTTGATGGTTGGACTGGATGTTCTTATTGGTCTTTTCCAACGCTAATTACTCTATGATTGTGTGATAGATATTAGAGGAAGCTAATACCAAATTCTCCAAAGTACACAGAACCTATGATTGGCATTGCATGCACTGTGGAAGCAGGTAGGAAGGTGTCAGCACTTCTGTCTGTACACGAGAGTACGTTAGATTTGTCTGCACCGATCCCTAGAAATAGTTTGGGAGATTTCATTTTGATTACAGTGCAAATAATTTCCCTGGTGTTCCAAGAGGGCAAATGTTTCTTAAACAATAATTGACTCTTTTCATGTGTGCTTAGTAGGTTTCCAAGGAGTGAAAAGGTCCCATCCTTGTGCAGGTTTCACCTCCTCTTTTCTTCCCAACCATTCATTAACACCAAGAGTCTCCATACAGAACATATAGTGTAGTATTTAACGGGGGAAGGGGAGGAAGCAACAATTTTCCACTTGGGACTACAGAAAATAGCTGAGAACAACTGCTTCTGGATGCAAAGTATTCAGCTCTGAAGTTTTAGTTCCTACTTGTAGTTGGAATCCTTATCTCATTAATCACTAAATTCATATTTTCTCCGCCTTTGATAAGACCTTAAAAACATGCAGTGTGCTGTGTGTGCATCACTCCTTTGACTTGGATTGCTCGATTTCCCCTCAGGTTGCTTTATAAACTTGTTTTCTGAAATTCTTCCCAAGATTTTTCTTCCCTCTTCTGTAATAAGTCACAGGGGTTATTAATTTAACAAAATGTTCTTAGAGCTGCAAGGGAAGTTTGTTTCACTTTGTAGAGTGTTCCTAAAGGCTGAATATCAGTGTCTGGACGCTCTCTTAGTCTGCAAAGTGTGTAGAACTGGAAAAAACTAGAGAGGGATTGTGTTAAAATCTGTCAGTTCAGTAGAATAGCGTGCATTTTCACCTTGGAGAGAAGATGCTGCTCATGTTGTGTTCTATCTAGTACATCTTTCTTGTCTGAGATGGTGGTGGTATTGTTTTTTTGGGTGCTTTGTTGGTCTGATTTGTCACCAAGACATAAACATGTCTCAGGGTTCATTCCTACTATGAAGTGATAATAAGAAGGAGAAATCCAATGTGCAAAAGACCAAATGAAGCTCACTTCAGTTGTTTCTGATTTCTTTGGAACTGTACTGCTGAAAATCCTGTTTCTGTTTCATGCCTTTAGAGTCTCCAACCAGTAGATGAATTTAGAACTGTGTCTTTGGAGGGATAGTTAATTTTTCACAGGCATCCAATCTGATAAATTATTCTAAGAAAAGTTACAAATTGATCAAAAGTAGAAAAAGTTTAACTTTGTTAAATAAATGCATGTACATAGTAGCTTATTTATTATTCTTCTTTAAACAACACCACCGCCCAAAGACACCCACACAATTCAACATCAAGCTAATGAGACTTTGAGATTAATGGCAGTATTTGCTCTCATGCCATAGCAGACTCAACTCACTTTATTTCTGTGACTGTTTAGGTGTTACTTGATCATCCTTCTGACTATTTCATTCTCTTCAGACTTCTGTGGGCATTTATGTACTTACCTTAAACAACTGCAAGACCTGCAGGTTAAGTTTATTGTCTCAACATTGTGATTCACTTGAAACTGGAGGAAATTGACATTAATAGATGCATAGGGTCTAACTATCTCAAGCATGGAGTAAACCTTTCCAGGATAATCTTCTGGTCTCCCAAAGCCTTGGTGTGATCTTTCAGTTAGAAGTGCCACATTTAGCAGTTCTCAGTCATTTGTGCTCCACTGTGTTGTCAAATTGTAAATTCATGCTTGCCACATCTTGTGGGGATGGGATTTATCCTCTTCTGTGTTTGAGCATTGCATTTCACAGCCAAGATTCAAAGTTCTGTGCTGGTATATTACAAGAAAGAGTGAACAAAATAAATCCCTGTTCACATCCATTCAACTCATGGTGTTGTCAATCTTTACCACATATTGTCCAGTCATTTCTTTTCTAGACTGAAGAGTCCCAGCCCTTATCTTCCTACATTAGATGTTATGAGTCTTCCTCACAGGAGTGAAAAATGTGCTAATTCTGCCTCCATTCACTGTGATGCTTAAACAAAATCCTGGCTATGCAGGCTCACCATTATAGTATAGTTTTTCCCTATAGTACAGTTTTTTGGGGAAGGGTCACAGTTTAGCAGACTTCAGTCAAAGGGGAATGCATTTGCCTGAAACCTGACTTTCTGATGTCTGTTTTTTTCCTTTTCTGTCTACTTAGGATGGCAACTTGAAATTCTCCCTTGAATCTGTGAAGAAGCTAAAGGAGCTTATGGATGAGAACAAAGTCATTAACCCTCGCATGGTGGTTTCAAAGGCTGGGTATTCTCCATGTCAAGATAAAGATCTCCCTGAGGAATTCCAAGCTGTGTGTAAAAGAGAAGATGCACCTGCAATTTTCGAGAGGCTGTGTATGTAGTTCATGTTGCATAGTTTCCTTTTTATCACACTTTTCAACCTCAAACATTGAAATAGTAGCAGCCAAAGAAGTGTAATTACTGTTGTGTCACTTCTGAGGCAGCTGGAAGTCCATGCTACCACCCCTTCTGCAAGGATACGATAGCTGTGGGCCCACCAGAAAACTCCTATAGTGCTTAGTTGTAGCCTAAGTACAGTAACAGATCAGTCTGTCATAGACATGAAGAAGCTTCCTCCCATTGGAGATGTATTTCCAGGTTCCTTAAAAGAGGTGTGAGATGTAGATGAAGTGAATCAACCTTTGGCGTTACCTCCAAGGCACGTATAGTGATTCTTGAACAGGCTCCTACAGTATCTGCTTTTTATTTATTTAGTACGTTGTGTTTATCAATACCATGGAAAACTTAGGAAGAAGTAGCACCAATATAACTGAGGTTGTGGTTCTGCAAGCCACCTCAGAGGATCTAAGGCCATATCCTTGTCACCCTCTCATAATGTCCTGTTGTTCTCTTGCCTCCACATGTTCCCCTTGTTTCCCCAGTGAGTTCAGATTTTCTTTAGTTTTTGAGAAAATTTTGCTTAAGGAATTAGTTTTTCTTGTGTCAGTAATAACTTCAGTGTACGCAGAAATTTGTGGAACAGTAACAGAAAGGAGTCTTTCACCACGTGGTTTAAGGCTCTGCTCTCCAATGAATTCCTTTGCCTTGTCACTAAAACAGTCTCTTTTCTCTCTAACAGACTTGGTTGCTGGTGACGTTGATTTGTGTGAAATCTGTGCCAATGCTGCCTGCTCTGGTTGCTTCTGAATAAGGATGAGACACTCCAAAGACAGTGTGCCAAGCTAGGAAGTTTGTGCATTTGTATTGCAAGATCACATACCCTCACAAATCACTATTTAGGTATCATCTTCACTACAGTCAAACTGAAGCTGTTAGCTCATGTAGACATACTAAGGGTAATTTTGAAGCAGTGAGATCAGGTAATACCAGCAATGCAGTTCTGGCAACAGGAAGACCAAACTTCATTTGAGAAGCTGAAGAACCATGAAGAAAGAGGCTCACACTGAGCGTTGTCTTACCTTGAGCCATGCCTGAGTTGTGCATCTGTCTATGTGAGCTGTGTCATGGTTGACTGGAGTGAAAATATCCTGGACTCACTGTTTCAATTTCCAGTATTCTATCTGGATTGGAACACAATGGGTCAAACTGAGTAGTCTCCTCTAGCCTTTTAATATCTAAATCTCCCTGTGATCTGTCTTCCACTACACATATACACCTAAGCAGCATAGGGTTGTAATCTTTTCCAACTCAAGCTCTCCAGTTGGTTGGATGAATGTCTGTGCATGTAGGTCTGGACATGGTATGTGTTTGATTGTAACAGAGCTGTAGCATATAACTTGGGGACAAGTCATAAGTGTTTAGCAACACTTTAATAGCTAGGAAATTCTCCATCTGTTACTTGTACTAATATTTAATGCCAATTCTACAGATGTAGAAGAGCACAGGAGCTAGTAATCTTTTGCTCCCTTCTTTTGGCAGATGTTTGTTAAGCTCTGTTTAGGAAAAAGGAAGTCCCAGCTGCAATGCTGGAATCACTTTGAAAGGAAAACATTGCCTTGTTTTTATTTTTGAGTGCCTATTTGTGAAGAAAGGGTCTACCAATGTTTGTATGCTACTGTACGTGAAATAAAGATTAGAGACAATTTTGTAGTTTTGCTTGGTTTTGTTTTCTTTCTTTTGCTTTGATGGTCTACCTACTTCCTTATGTCCTATATAAGTTCTTCCATGTCTGAATGTCCACTGGAGTAAAATATAACTTGTTAACCTTAAAATAATTTGCTATTCCATTTGTGGTCCTTATAGTAATAGTAATATATAACTACTTTGGAGTTTTAAAATTATTCCCTTTCAATTGTTAAGCCTCCATTTCTTATATTTTGGGACCTCAACTCAGCCACTAGGTTCTCAGAAGAATGTCAGTGCTGTGCATCCATTTCAAGACTGTTGAGTACTCCAGAACAGAAATATCCAAGAGTGAATGCCAAAAAGAGTCCCACACTAAGCATCTTACTGCTGCCTTGAAATTGGCACCTCTGGAAAACTGCATTTCCTGACTCAAAACAGTTCTTGGGCTTATTTTGAACTTGAAGTTACGTCTTTGGATATAGAAAAGCAACTGTGCATTTTCTCTTAGAATTAATTTGATGAATCATTAAGTCTTAGTACAGCAGCTTAGTATGGCTCAGGCAGAGAGGGCAGATTATGCATTTTGAAATGAAAACTCATTGGCAAAAAGAACAGAACCAAGATGACCCTACTGATACTCTCCTAGTGTTCACACTGGGTGAGAGGGCTGGACTGGGGACCTTAAAAAAGTTCTCCCAGTGACTCACAAACCTCACGTCCCTTTATAACCCCATGCTGACTTGCTAACCTGATAATCACAGAGTAGTTGAGGTTAGAAAGGACCTCTGGAAGTCATGTGGTTCAAGAGCTGTGCTCATGTTGGACAGTGTAGAATAAGTTGCCCAAGACCATATCCAGACATCTCCTGAAGATCTCCAAGGAGGAAGACTCTACCACTTAATTGAGCAACATGTTCTACTGCTCCATTGCCTGCACAGTGGAGAAGTGTTTCTTGATGCTCCTGTGTTTCAGTTTTTGCCCATTGCCTTTTAGCCTGTCACTGGGCACCAAGGAAAAGAATCTGGCTCCATCTTCTTTTTGTCCTCTCATCAGGTATTTAGATGACCTACCGACCTTCCTCTTCTCCAGGCTGAACAGTCCCAGCTCTCTTAACCTCTCCTCACAGGAGAAATGCTCCAGTCTTTTGATCCCTTTGGTGGCCAGACATTTCCAGCGTGTCCATGTCTCTCATGTACTGGGGAGCTCAGAATTGGACCCAGCACTCCAGATATGGACTAGCCAACAATGAGTAGTGTGGAAGGAACACTCCTCTTGACCTGCTAGTGAAAGTTAGCCGAATTCAGCCAATTCTTAGCACTAAGGATTACACAAGCGAGTGTCTCAAGAAAATTAGATCAGAAAACTCTTCAAGGCCAAGGACGCACAATACTACATTGCAAACTGGAGAGCTGGTGCACATCAGCAGTTTAAAGTTACTTAGATGGCTCACAGGGATTCATAAAAGTCTTAATTTGTTTGGCTGGTTCCTGTGTATCCACTGTCACCATGTCATGTATATTCCTATCATTTCCTTCTCAGAAGGTCGTTCCTGCAGCTATTTACTTTGGCTATATTAAAGAGTTCAGAAGAGAACCGTGTGACACGTAGCAGGCTCTGATTGTTACAGTGAGTCAGAAACACCTCTGAGCTCTTGTAAATTCTTCCTTTTCTTCTGATAAATGGTCCTCTGTTTTCCCAAGAGGCAAGATAAACTGAGCTTTATAATGCATCATTTTCTTTGGCGGTCAGGATTGCCACCTGCTATCATTTATGGACTACACTGTCCTTTCATTTCCTGCCTCCTATTTACAATGTGATAAAAATTACAAATAATCATCATGTTCCATTGACTGAGTTTTCTTCTGAATGAATAATAAACAGATGTTCTTTATCTGACGTTAAAAATAATGATTTACATTGTCATGACACAGTCAGTTTTCTGTCAGATTACTTCTGTCTTTCATTTGGCTGTGAGAAGTGGAGTATTTTTGTTTCCAATTAGTGCTTTTCAAACGGAACCTCACAGGTTAAGATGTAATTCACCATATGCTTCCTCTGGTATTGTAAATACTTATTGTGTGTTCATTATTTCAAGTAGTCATCCAGGCTTGGGGTTATGGAACCACGTTTAATGCTGAAAGGAGTTGCAGTCCAAATACTTTTGGAGCCCATTGCTGAAAATGGGAACCTACTGAATCAGGAGGGCTGTAACATAGGTCATCTGCTGAGCCATACGCTTTCTGAACAGCCTCTGAGGGCAGTTTTTGTTGTTTAACCCAGCAGGCAGCTAAGCACCACACAGTCATTAGTTCACTCCCCTCTTCGACTGGGATGAGGAAGATAATTGAACAAAGGAATGGTAAAAATTGTAGGCTGAAATAAAGCCAATTTACTAAGATAGAAAATGAAGGGAGAATAATTATGATGATAAATATATATACACACACATATATATTTAAAAACAAGTGGTGCACAATGCAGTTACTCACCACCTGCTCACCTATGTTCCTTGTCCGTCTCTTCCCAGTTTTGCAGTTCTGCATGATCTCTTATGGTATGGAAAATTGTAGAATCATAGAATGCCCTGGGTTGAAAAGGACCACAATGATAACTGAATTTCAACCCCCTGCTATTCTGTCCCCTCCCAGCTTCTTGTGTCCCCCCCAGCCTCCTCACTGGCAGGACAATACAAGAAGCTGAAATGTCCTTGATTCTGTTGTTCTGCAACAATTAAGACATTGGTGTTTTATCAACACTGCTTTCCTCCTAAATCTGAGGCACAACATCACACCATCCACTACAAAGAAAGCTAACTTTATCCCAGCTTAAGCCAGGAAGTTAAGTTAGAAGGGGAGAACAGTGGTATTATGCAGTTTGAATGTCCTTCCCAAGAAAACATTTTTGGCTCCATTATGTAAGATCCTGAAGCTGGGAACCCAAATGAGGAGTCAAACCAAAGGTTCGTAACCATAATCAGCAATGTGCAAGGATATAATGCAGGAGTTTTGCACGATGGACACTGTGTTCTGCATATGGCAACAAATCTGCTGAAATACCTAAGGGACAGTAAAAACATAGAATATAAAATTGCCCATTGCTGCTGACCTGGGCAGCATAGGAGATCCCCTAGAACTGCAGTTGAGCTTGGTGATCCTAGAGATTTTTTTCAACCTTGATGACTCTGTGATTCTGTGAACTTCCCAAGTCATAACCTCCAAGCACTGGGGAGGACAGATGTGATCTTGGAGGAATTCATTCTTAACAATTGTAGTTAAGTTTGTGATTGTAATGATTTAAATTATTTAATGATTTGCTTCTATCTAGCCTAGAGCAACAGGTGAGTGAATTAAACACATGTAGTCACGTGGAAGCTGTCTCAATCTAAAATCCCTTCACAGTGAGAACTGAGAACTACCTTCATCTCCTTTTTTTTTTTTTTTCCAGTTGAATGAGTGACTCACTGAAATATTCCTTATTAGAATGCTCAAATTACAGCAATAAATATCATCTCCTCAGAGAACGGAATATGACACATGAAAGAAACCTTTTTCTGGCATTAAATTGTACTAAGGGAGGCTCAGGTTGGATATAGAGACAATTTCTTCTCAGAAAGAATGGTGATGCTTTGGGGCATGCTGCCCAGAGACGTGGTGGAGTCACCATTCCTGGAGGTGTTCAAGAACTGTAGAGATGTGGCTCATGGAGGGATGTGGTCATGGTGGTGGTGGGTTGGGATTGAGCTTGTAAATCCCAACCTTAATGATTTTGTGATTCTGTAATCTAGTAAAGTCAGCTGAATAGAAGCATTTTGAAATTCAATAAGCAATTATGCTTTTATTACCTAAGCATAATAAGAGTGTGAGATTGTATGTTAACTTTTGTACAGGCTTTTTTTTCAAGGCCAGAAGGTCACAGGAGACTAAGGAGTGGATTTCAAAGTCTGCAGCTGATAAATACAGCTTGGATTTGTTCCCGCAGATTTCTTCCCCACGCATGCATACTGCTAAGATAATAGGAATGTGCACCCTTCTCCATCTTCCTCTCTTTGTTCAGTAACAGCTATCATTCTGGACAAATTGTGGAGATCAGCCTATTCCTTACAGGGCCATTTAATCACCCCTTGCAGCTGAGGAATCAAGTTGTCGGAATGTATCTCCTCAGTGCAGTCCAGTGTGACTACCTCTGACATCTCCAGGCTCTTCTGTTTGAAAGAATGGATCGTCTGTAGGCGTTTTCTATTAATGTTTAATCACTAATGATAGCGTAGATGTCAGCCTGATGTTGATATCTTTCTCCCCTTATCTTCAATCAACTCTTGGCTCGGGGCTTTTGTTAAAGAAAAGCATCATATTTATACATTGCTGTAATAAGTATGCACAACGTACTGCAGGCTGGACTTATAGAAGAATATAACATGAATATTGATGCAGTGCTATTTTAATAATTGTCACTGAACACAGAAATTCTTTGTCCTTTATCCTTTTTGGGCACATTCTTTTATTTAATATGCATTCCAGCGTGTTGTTGATGACAAATAGATGTCATGCTGCTGAAATACACCACCAGCAGGAATTCTGGACAGGGTAGGACTGCAGCAATCTCCAGATTTTGCTAGCTGTCATCATTGGATTTCCATGCAAGCCAAATCAAAGTGAATGCCACAAAGTTTTGGAATTTTTTTGCATCAGAATTTTCCTGTGCCTCAGACAGGAAATAGGCAACGCTATAAAACATTTTTTGTGACATCTTTTTTTGTACTATTTGGGATAATCTATAGGTATTTGTGGTAAGCATAGCAGATAGTGTCCACATCAAGCAATGCAAATATACATCCTTTTCATTAGAACATGTTCCCCCCAACTGTGTTTGTGCTATTTGAACAACCCAGTGTGGTGATCCAGATTTCACAGTTAAAAAAAAAAGTAAAAAGGAACTTTCTGCTCTTCTGCTGGTTACTGAAAATTTCCTATTGCTTATTATATTAATGAGAGCTTGAGACAAATTCAGGCTATGGGCAATTAAAAGGAGGCTAATTGAAAGGATCAAAACCCATAGGAAGAACATGGGATGAATATTTCAAGGGTTTCAGTGACTGTAGTGACTTCATT